GCGAGACGGCAAGGATGGATGGCAGAGAGGAAAAGCGCTTTGGGGTGTTCGGGAAGGGGGCCGGCGCGGGCTGGCCAGGGAGGTAACAGTTTCTAGAACATCGCGATGCAAAAATACACAGTCAAAAATCATCAGCTAGAAATTTCCAACTAAAAAAACACGGCTGATTGTGAAATCATGTTCCAAATTACTAAAACCACTGTATTTAACAAAAATAATCTTAATAGTTTTATGAATCCATTTTATTTTAAATCCCTCTTTTATTGTCTGCTTATGTTACAGTTTAGTAGTAGTACTTTTTATTGAAACTACTAACAACCTTTTTTCGTGAAAATGATCAATCTCAGCTTTCATTTTCCCTCTGCATGACCCGTTTTATCCAAGTTTCAGCATTTCTTGCATATTGTTTGCATAAGGCTGAGAGAAATGGACAAAGAGAAATAACTTTGGATAAATAAAAAATATAGGTTCATGGAAAGTGGGAAGCTTATAAAAATGTCACTAAAATTATATCGATTTAAACAAACTTACATACATCTCTTGTCAAATAAAGGATGATATTCATGCTTTTATGACATTTGTTTAGAGTCACTAACTAGCTCGGTGACTTTGTAATAGTCTATTTAGGAAATTTATAGTCTGGCGACTGGTTTTTTTTCTTTTCTTTCTTGAACAAAGAAAATTAGAGCAAGTCATTGCACAACTAGTTTAAATAGTGCTACCTCAAAATGGCATTTTTGCCGAGATTGTTTTGAATTTGGTGAAGTTTAGTGCTTCAAGCTTTTCTTTCCTTAAACTCATTTACAAATTAACTCTAAATTTGCCAGCAATATAAAAACTGTTGTGGCACCTAATATAACTACCCTGAACATCCCTCATTGGACCTCTTTAATAAAAAATAATCCTTAAATGCTTTTTTTTTCAGTGCTTTAAATGTGACATGAAAACAGCTGTATTCTAGGTTTACATTCTATGCACATCTATGCCAGATGTTTAAGTCGATAAATAAAATAGGAGGTTACATCAAAGTGTCAAGATATACAAAAATCCATTTAGCACTGAAAAAATTCCAACCTCCTTGAACTCAATAAAGCCATACAAGCTTGAATGCATCCTTTCTGGCTTAAGAAGATCAGCTCTGTTCTTTGTTGAGGCACTGGCACAGGTTGTGCAAAACCCATTTTTGATACACAAATAATTTCAAACAGGAAGTACTCAAATCCACTTTTTCCACTAACAATGTTATGGTTTTGGGAAACAGAAACTCAGTGGTGAAAAGAACAGGTATGCAGTCGCCAATATAAATGAGAATCACTGATTTCAGGCAACGCTGCTGCTTGTGAACGCTGATGGCTGGGGAACATCTCTGGACACAAGTGACTGTCAAAACACGGGGTTCATAAAGGAGGGTCTTGGGGGAGGATGTTTCTTTCCCCTCTCTCAGGGTTTGGTTCAAAGCCTGCTGAAATAAGTGGAGAGATTCCTTCTGGCTCAAGGCCTTTCTGAGCTGGGCTCTTCAAAGGTTCTCGCTATGAATGAGTCTCCACGGGCAGATGGTCAGAGCCCGCTCTGGGACGCACTGGCTGTGCCCTAGATGCCCCTCCATCACTTGTGGTCCGTAGAGATACAACACATCTAGCAAACTATCTGCGCTCACACTGGAGGAAGAGGGGGCAAGGAAAGTCTCTAGCCAAGGCCAAGGAACTTGAAAAAGAAAAGAAAACCTGGTTGTCAGAATTTGGCACCCTACGGGACCACTGCAAGCTCGGGCTGGCCAGCCGTCCAGACACTGGAAGCTGGCCTCTTGCTTGGTTTTAGTAACAATTCTCTTCCTCCTTGTACGGAGTTTGTGGATTTACAGCAGCAAATCCATCTCTTCCATAATGCCAATGATACTGTAGAGCTATGACAGGGATGAATTTGGCTGTATCCTCAACCAAAATGCATTCTGCAGCCAGATTGTTCAGCAACGCAGCATAACGACAGGGTGCACAGGCTGGAAATCATTTTATTCGTGCGTATGAAAAGGAGGTACTGAGAACTAGCCCTTGTTGTGCGGCAAACATTGCTCTTGATCAAGTAGAAGGTGCCAAAATAAATCCACTGACCTACAGGAGCTCCATTAAGATGGATGTTTATCTACGGCAGAAAGCTTATGTTGAGCTTTCTCCTGCTTTGTTACTGCTGTGTTTGCTTTAAAGGGCCAGAGATCATGGGGAAAAAAAATATCCCACTTATGGAAAATGGTGATTAAATAATCAGTGCACGCTGACAAAATTTCAAGAAGAGCCACATAAGATTTCAGGCTGAAATGTTTCAGCATGCTTAATGGAGACAAGCCCCTGGGCACGGTATTACCCAGCTTGGGCTACGTCATAGCTATGGGTTCACTCCAGCTAACGGTTCACATTTGCTCCTCTGCAATGCCATGAGTCTTTGCCCAAATGAAGCTGTCTCACTTCACCACCTTTTTTTTGTTTTGTTTTGACTGCACCATGAGAACAGCAAGACAGATTGTGCGCTGTTTGCAGCTGAGAATGCACTTCAATGGACAACAGAACTGCAGAAATCCCATGATGCTTACCACCATCTGCGCAAATCGTTCCTGTCCTCTTACTAAGCCTGGGCTTTTGTGGGGTTTTTTCCAAAAGTTTCCAGGATCAGCTCATAGTATTGAAAGAAATACCCTGAACTGGTCTAAAATGACAGCTGTCTTTTCATATCACTTGTACTAAAAATTTGGAGACTCTATCTGAAGGCAAATTTTAAATGATAAAAGGAGCATTTAACACAAGCAACTTTAGCTGACATTAACAGCAAAATCCAGCAAAGGGCAGAACATTCCTGTGTCGTGTTTTTCAAGCACATAATTCCTGTTTCCCACAATAACATTTTTAGTAAAAAGCAAACAAAAACCCATAAAACCTACAGTATATGAAAACTTAAGACATAACAATAATGAAAAAATGGTATTGAGTATACTTGATAATGATGTACACTTTAAAACAAATCAATAGACTATGATGTAAACAAAACAGTAAGATAACACTTTAAAAACAAGACAAACATTTATCCATCGATAGTATACAGTAAACCAACAGTCCGCTGTGCAGATGCACTTATCAGGATGGTAGTCATAAAACGATTAAGTGTGTTAAAGTAATGTGTTATAAAAGTCTATTATAATTTTCTACTTGTATATCTCATATAACAGAGCGCTGTTTGTTAATTGTTTCTATAGTGCTTTTTTTTTTTTTTTTTTTTTTTGACATTCCCATTGATCAGTTTTTGGTTAACATGTAGGCTGCAACAGGCTTACTGTAGAGGTGGTAGAGAATGATAGAGGGAAGAGGGGATATATACAGAAAGGCCATGCGCAGCTTCCCACCAAGAAGTCCTGGTGCTCCATAATTTTACTGTTCAGAATTTCAACATGGTCTGCTGCAGGGGAAAGAAAAAACAACAAAGAAACAGTCAGAAGTTAGAGAGATACATCTATATTTTAATAAAAGTAATTCTAATAAGATACATTTACATCCTCACTGCATTGCCCAAGAGATTGCCATTAGTATGTTGCAGCAAGAATACATTTTATTCCCTTAATTTTCTGACCTAGGGTGAAATTGCTAATAACACACTTGGCATCCTCTTTAATCTGCACTTAGGGCTTTCCATTTCCAGTGCGCTTCACACACACTGACAAGACAATTAGTGAAAGAGGAAGGTGGGCGAATAATGGTTTTGTTTTTGGAGAGGATGGCAGGTAGAGAGTGACTAAGGAGAGGGCCAAAGGAATCCCTGACCCCCGTTAGCTCCTGTTTCCTTTGGAGAGAGCCACAGACAGTCACATTAAAATCTGATCCTAAGGAGCCACAAGCCAAAGGCAAATCAGGCCCAGAAACAAAACACAGACAGAAACCCTGTGCTCAGGGGACCCTCTTCTGGGAGCAAATCGCCTCTCTCGGGATGTACTCGTGAAAATCCTCCCCTGAAGGACCAAACACTTGTCTCCTGCATAGCTAGGCTAGCCAGCCTGGCCACCAGGACCTCATCAGCCAGGGAGGAAAAGAAAAACATCTGCCAGAGCAGCAAGTGTTTCAATTGCCCAACTACCACTCAGGGCAGCTTTGGAAATTGCTCCTCAGCAGTGCAGAGTGCCAACCAAAGTCCTTGTCTGGCAAAACGCTTGAGCACACGCACAACTTCACCTGCTCGGGTGGAGGCATGAAATGATGTGTCCTTGAGAGATATGCTCACCTTCAGTTTATGCCCAGACACGGTGGGTAACAACCCAGGAATGGGATCAAAACACACATGTTGCTGCATGAAAATGGTCACTGGTGGGTCTCTGAGCACTGGGGATGCTGGGGGACATAGCCCTTTTCTACCAGCCTCCGAAGGCGGTTTATGTCCCACAGCTGCGAGGTGTTGAGAGGACAAGCGCTTCTGGCAGAGCGGTGGCTCACGCACATGCTCACACCGCCCTCGTGAACAACAGGCTCCTTGTCTGACCCTGTCTATGCCCAGTAGCCTGATCCCCAAGAAGTCACATTAAATTCAATACGTTGACCCTACTTCTTTCAAGCAAAGTTTTTTCACGGTCCTTAACAGCACAGCTGATGCTTTGTTCAACAGACTGTGTTGTGCTCCCTACTTACTGAAGAAATACCTCCCATGGAAGTTCCTTGCCTAGTCTGAAATCACTAACTATTGACAGTATTGAGTTTAAGCACACATACACACACATAAAAGAGAATTCAGAAAAAAGAAGTTTCCTGGAATAAATGCTGAAAACAATTTCAGAGCTCCAATGCAAATGATCTCCTTATTGGGTGGAACAGGCTGTTTTGCATGTGTTATGGAAATGAGTTAACATGTCAGGTGTCACGTCTGTCTGTCTGTCTGCTGTTTGGGAGAGCAGTACACTCTGTAACACAGAACATTTTCACTAACAGGGATAGGTTGATGTTTACCCCTACATGAATAGGGGTTCATGGCCACAGTTAGTGGATCATGTATACATACGGTACTTTATTAAGATCAGCAGAGATAAGGGCCACCACCAAGATGAGTAAGTTCTGTCAATTGCTGAAGATACCATTTGAGAATTGCTTGCCAAATAAATTTCCAACATTTAAGTACTTGCCTGTAATACGTGACCTAAGGAAGAAATGGGTTGCATATCTGTATATACTAAATGGCCCGCATTGGGAAAATCTGGTGACCTCTTGTTGAATTAGCTGAACTGCTCTTTACTCTCTTGGGGTAAAAAAATAAAGCGATAAACTGAAACCCCCAAGGGATTTTCTCTCATGAACATCAGCTAACACTCACAAAGAAAAGCAATGGAAAAATGACACTGCTGCTACGGCTGTAAAATAAATACTCTGTAAGTCAAAGAGAAGGACAAACTCCTCCATCATTCCCACTCAGAGAAACCTAGCAGCCTAGGGAAGCCCAGGATCTGCAGGTAGGGTGAAGGATATGTTGCTTGTGGCATTCATCCTGGTCTTAAACACATGCAAGGACCTCTGAAGAAACCCACCGTGAGCCAGGCCCCCACTGCAGCTGAACGGCAGACCTGCTCAGACCAAGCCAGCCTTGCAGATGCACAGCAGCTGACAATGACCCAATCCTGCTTACCCCAGGAAAGGAAATATGCCACTAACAGCAAAAGAAAAGTTACACCTTTTCAGCTGACTCATCACCAGAGCAGTCTTTGCCATCAATAGCGCAAATCCCTGAGGCATCTGCAGGCAGCTGGGAGCCGTGCAGAGCAAGAGTAACGTGTAAACACAGCCATCAGACTCAAGGGGATGCAAGAAGGGAGGCTGCGAACACCGTAAAATGGGTATTTTAGACACAAGGAACATTGCTTGTTATAAACCATAGGGCTGGTCTGTATCTGTGCTGCAGCTGCTGAATTTCTGTTGAGTTGGCAGACCATGAAGCCACTGGGGTCCTGCAGGCTCAGCCCCTCTGCCCGAGCCAGCCCCCCTTTTGGGGGATGCAGTGCCCTTGTACAAAGCAATCCACCGTAAAGAGAAATACGGAAAAGGAACTTACTGTTCTGTTGGGAACTTCTACATCTGTGAAACAAACATGCTGCTACTCAGTTCATCTACTGATAACTGGGATATCTACAGCAAAAAAAAGAAAGAACACAACACATTAAAACGTTGTCTTGAGATCAGGCTGCTCATTCTGTCTTCAGTATCAGGTTAGTAAGTACATCAGTGTCTTATAAAACAGGATCCATTCCCAAGATGTCTTTATTTTGCTACACGTTAAGCACAACGTAGCTGCATCACTACTAATGCCTCGTGGAGTTCGTGATGGTTGTACTGGGATTTTAACTCCATAGACTACAAGTAAGACAGAAATGCCCTGAAACTATCTGGCTGAAACAGGACTCATACAGCCACAGAGCAATGCTGCACAGGAATTTCTGCTTTCTTCCCATGACCAATACAAGTATGACTAAGACCTGCTCTACCTGAAAATAACAACAAAGCACAGAAAAAGACTAGCAATCCCTACTGCGAGCAGTAAAACACTGCCTAGGACTTATGCAGGCAAAACTTCTACTGAAAGCCTCGTGACCTCACACTAGCAAAAGACTACAGGATGCCCCCTGAGATATTACTGACATTCGGCATGGCTAACAGCCTCCTACAGAACAAAGTGACACCCCGTTTTCTTTGCAATAGCTCTAAACCTGAGAGCATGACAAATAAAAATGCTAAAATTAGTACTTGGGGGGGGAGGGGGGGGAAGTGTTTGAAATGTCTCTGGTCTAACTGGGAAAAGTTGTGGCACACCAAATTATCAGGAAGCATCACTAGGACAGGTTGTGCATATACAGTTCAGGACTGGTGCGGAAGCAGCCATCACAACTCAGTATCTTCAGAGGAAAGTTTTGGAGAGAATTATGGCTCGGCAGACATGCATGAAATCCTGTACACTTATGGCAGTGCTACAACGGCACGTACTGCACATCCAGAGTCATTTCTGTAGGGATGGGTGACGTTACTGGTGTAAATAAGCTTCAGACTTCATAGCCTCACCCCTGATTTTTTGGGTTTTGGCTGGTTTGGGGTTTTTTTGGTTTTTTTTAGAGTCCAATCTTGCGGTGGGGGGAGGCCGCTTTGTGTTTTCACTTCCGCTTTCCAGCCAGGAGAGGACATGCCAAAATACCACGGGGAAAGATGCTTGGGGTGGTATTTCTGCTTGAGACTGAAAGCAGAAGTGCTGCAGGTCTTGCGCGACAGCACGGTCAGGAGTTTTACAGCCCGGTTTTTCAGGACCCGGAGGGGTGCTGTTTTTGGAGAAGCGCCTCCACCCCTGCAAATCGCCCATCCCTACGCGCCACA